GAGAAGAAGTTATATATGGTTTTTATTATTAAATTAAAACGAAATTTTTAGACTGTATTTTTGGGATGTTACATGCATATTCTTTTGTTTCTCTTTGTGCATTTAATATTGTAGGGGGTGGTGTAAAACCTCTTTCAATTTGATTTCATATTGTTTGTGACCTTTCTCCTCATCAAATAATGTTAAAAGGTGTGGTTCCAGATGAGGAGCCGGATTTTAGGATTTTCTGCTTCAGGGTCGACTGTGCGGCTACCCGGATTCGAGTCGGACGCGTTTTCTATCAAGCAACTTTTGTGTATTTTTTGTTTCTTCGTCTGATGTATCACTACCACTTTCTCCCACGTTTAGTCCTGGGGCTACACTTTTGTTGGCCCCATCTTCTTTTCATAAACACAAACATTCACCCATGTTATGCTCTACTTCAGTTGATTGTCAAATTCTCATTGCAAATGGTATGCACGTTGTTGTTTTATTTCGTATTGTTGTTTGTTTCATGTTTTCCAGGTTTTTTTATAAGGGTTTTTTCTTCATGTGTTTTGCTTTAAGAAGAGTTGGACGAGGCATTCCACTCCATAGCTCGTGCCGAGGACATTATTTATATCGCAAAATGGTAGGAAATACAAATTGTTCGAGGGCTTTCTAGTCTTGTGTGATCGATATCTGTCTGTCAAGGTGAATTTGCGAACCGCCAAGAGTGTTAAATTAGTTAGGGAAGAGATGTTGGGTATGGTTGATAAACAGTACACAGAGTTGTTCGACCGGTGTCATGTTTCTTCGGAAAGATTTGTTGTTTTGGAGAATCATAGATGAGGAGCCCGATTTTAGGATTTTCTGCTTCAGGGTCGACTGTGCGGCTACCCGGATTCGAGTCGGACGCGTTTTCTATCGAGCAACTTTTGTGTATTTTTTGTTTCTTCGTCTGATGTATCACTACCACTTTCTCCCACTTTTAGTCCTGGGGCTACACTTTTGTTGGCCCCATCTTCTTTTCATAAACACAAACATTCACCCATGTTATGCTCTGCTTTAGTTGATTATCAAATTCCCATTGCAAATGGTATGCATGTTGTTGTTTTATTTCGTATTGTTGTTTGTTTCATGTTTTCCAGGTTTTGTTATAAGGGTTTTTTCGTCATGTGTTTTGCTTTAAGAAGAGTTGGACGAGGCATTCCACTCCATAGCTCGTGCCGAGGACATTATTTATATCGCAAAATGGTAGGAAATACAAATTGTTCGAGGGATTTCTAGTCTTGTGTGATCGGTATCTATCTGTCAAGGTGAATTTGTGAACCGCCAAGAGTGTTAAATTAGGTAGGGAAGAGATTTTGGGTAAGGTTGATAAACAGCACACAGAGCTGTTCGACCGGTGTCATGTTTCTTCGGAAAGATTTGTTGTTTTGGAGAATCATAGATCATTGTTAGAGGCTGATTATGAGTCATGTCTACGGGAGAATGAGGTTCTTCATGCTCAGCTTGTTGTGAAGTCCTTATAGGTCTTATCTCCAATTGGTTATGATTTATTTCTTTGTGTAACGGCAAGCATCGCTTGGTGTGAGTGCTTGTAAGTGTAACCATTTTTAGTTTCGCGTTCCTTGGCCTTCAATTGTGTTGGTGTATAGTATGTGGTTGACTTCTATAACTTAATTTTTGGTCCTTGTATGTTGACATCAATTTGACTAAAAGGTTTACTTTCATGCTCATTGTTTTAAGTGCAACGCATGCTTGAATGTTACTTTTGTTAACTATTTAATGTTTGTGCCTAGTGTCAGGAAATCTCCTTATGCTTGTTGGGTTGTTTTCTGCCCTATGTAGGTTATATTGCTTTTGATAAGGTAATGGTATGACTTGCGTCGAGACCATGCTAAATGCTTACCAGGTTGTTGTCGTTTGACCCGTGTAGGTTATACTGTTTTTGATGAGGTGATGGTATAACTTGCGTCGAGACCATACGCAATGTTTGACCCTTATAGGGTATACTGCTTTTAATAATGTGATGTTATGACTTGTGTCGAGACCATGCTAAACGCTTACCGGGTTGTCGTTTGACCCGTGTAGGTTATAGTGTTTTTGATAAGTCAATGGTATGGATTGCATCGAGACCATGCTAAACGCTTATCGGGTTGTTGTTTGACCCATGTAGGTTATAATGTTTTTTATAAGGCAATGGTATGACTTGCGTCAAGACCATGCTAAGCGTTTACCGGGTTGTCGTTTGGACCGTGTAGGTTATAATGCTTTTGATAAGGCAATGGTATGCCTTTCGTCGAGACCATGTTAAACGCTTATTGGGTTGTCGTGTGACCCGTGTAGGTTATAAGTTGCCGTTTTTATTGTACTTTCCTTCTTATACATATAACTTCCTTAGGTTTTTTATGTTCCATGATCTTGGTACAATTTATACGTCCGTTATTTGTAGGATATACGATCCATCCTTATTTGCTTCATAGATTTTGTATGGGCCTTCCCATGTTGGTCTTAACTTCCCTTACGGTTCTTGTCAGCTTGATTACTTTTTCTGAGGACCTTTTCTCCTACTCTAAAGGATCTACATTTGACATGTTGATTATAGTGGTTTTCAGTTTGCTATTTATAATGTTCCTGTCATATGGCCGCTATCTTTCGCCTTTCCATAGATAGTTTTAAGTTTGTCTTCAACCCGTCATTATTATTAGTTTGATAGAAGCTTGTTGTTCACTCGGTAAGGACCATTAATTATAATGGTATTACCACTTCTGAGCCTTTGTACCAAGCTAAAGGGTGTTTATTTCGTTGTCGTTTGTGGTGTTGTCCTATACGCCCATAGGACTATGGCAATTCATCGTCCTTTATTTGCATCTAGCCTTGTTGCTAGGTCGTATACGATTGTTTAATTTATGACTTCTGTTTGACGGTTTGCTTCCGGATGAGCCATGGATGTGAATCTTTGCTTGATTCGTAGATGCTCGCACCAATCTCTGAACGGATTATTAACGAACTGAGTGTCATAATCTGAGATCAGTGTATACGGTACACCAAATCGGCATATGTAGGTCATTGATCATCTTGTACATGTTATCCGAGTATTAACCGAACCAAACCGATTAATACCCAAACCGAACCAGTATTGGTTAATCGGTTCGGTTTTCGGTTCATTCAATTATCTTATTCGGTTTTTAGGTTATTCGCGTTCAGGTCGGTTCAGTTAGCTTCCGACCCGAATAACATATTAGTCTCAAATGAAGTAAAACCATAAAATCATATGAAAAATGTAGGGATGAGCATCGGAACCGGCCCGGAAACCAAACTTTGTGGAAAATAAGAACCGAACTGGACCGCCGGTTCTACCAATTCTGGTTCCAATTCTTGTCAGGTCTTCAATGTTGGAACCAGTCCTCGAGAAATAACAACGTATTTTGAGAAATAAGTAGTACATTGTTAAATGGTGCTGAAACAAGAAAAGTCAGATTTGATATGTTTTCTTGCGGGCTTTGTAAGTCACTCAATTTTAACCAAATCATATAGTTTAAAATTAGCTAAAAAAAACCTAAACAACGTGTAGGAAAAAGAATCAGGTCAATACAACTTAAAATGAGTGAGATATATACATTTTAACAAAAATGTCAAATTACGTTTTAGTACTGAAACAGGAAGAAAAAAAATTTGATTTGATATGCTACCTTGCAGGGTTTGTAACTCATTCAATTTTTAACAGAATTATCAAGCATTTTTATAGTCTAAAACTATCTATAAAACCTAAATAACATGTAGAAAAAAGAATCATTTCAATCTCATTTCAAATGAGAGATATGAACATTTTAAGAAAAATGTCAAATTACGTTTTAGTGCTTAAACAAAAGAAAAAAAAAAGTCTAATTTCATATGCTTTCCTTGCAAGTCTTGTATTATCTACAAGTCTGATAATTATCTACAAGTCCTTGCGAGGGAGATAAGAACATTTTAAGAAAAAAGTCTGATAATTTTAGACTATAAAATCATTCAATTTTTAACCAAATAAAGAGATTTTATAGTCTAAAATTATCTACAAAAACTAAATAACATGTAGGAAAAATAATAATGTCAATCCCACTTCAAATTAGTGAGATATAAACATTTTAAGCCGGTCAAGTTCGATTCCCGGTTTTGGGTCGGTTCCATCTGTTCCCGGTTTAAAAAATCCACAAAAATATCATCCTGGTCCCGAACCGAACGGTTCTATCCGGTTATGATTCCGATACCGGTTCCGGCTAGTTCCCCGGTCCAAATGCTCATCCCTGGAAAAATGTAACTGATTGTTTCATTTCTTTGAGTCGGCCATTAATGAAAAATGTAACCGATACTTTCGTTTCTTTGAGCCAGCCATTACTTTAAATCAATAAATGAACGCATCCTCTGATTGAAAGCCTTGTGACGTTTCTAGAGATATCTTATTGTACGCAACTTAATAATGACTTTAAGCACAATGAGATATTGTGAAAAATGCTTATAAAAGGTGAACCTAATAGTGAAGTAATGTCAAGAAAATTGTGTTAATGAAGTTCAAAATGCAGTAATGAACGAACCGTTTCAACAACAATTAGCAAAATTAACAAGCTTGAAACAAGCAAATGATCCCTAAAGAAAATTAACAAGCTTCTAAAATGTAAAAGTTTTCAAGAGAACACCTATGTATCAACATCAAAACTGTTGATGGCAAATTGTTCATGACAACTGACAAATATCATTTTAAACATATGTGATTGAATAACATATAGAGAAAGGTGAAGCGATAATCGATCACGACTCTAAATATCATCAAATCGTTAGCACAATAGAATGGATGCAAGTAAATTCGATAGAAATAACAGATAAGAAAACACAATTAGGAATGAATGTCTAGAACGGAAAAGATCAAACCAATTCAATCAAAATTTCTAACAGAAGAACATCAATTTCGTGTCTCACGTCTCAACATACTATCAAAAGGCAACATAACAAAAATGAAATATGCTAGAATAGAAATGACATGAATTACTCTGTTTCGATCAACGGTATGACTTCTGAAACCTCGCACGAGCACCACGACCACCAAACTTCTTCGGCTCGCACCTCCTAGGATCAGCAACAAGTAGCGTTCGGTCATATCTCACGAGAATATCCTTTATTTCCTTCTTCTGTTCTTCATCGACAAACTTCTGGTAATAAGCGACGAGCGCTTTAGAGATACTCTGACGAATAGCGTAGATCTGAGAAGTGTGACCTCCACCTTTGACTCGGATCCTCATGTCTACGCCGGCAAATTTGTGACGGCCGAGAAGGAGAATCGGCTCAAACGCCTTGTAACGGAGGATCTCAGGCTGGACGAGCTCGATTGGAACACCATTGATCTTGATTAGACCACGACCAGCCTTGCAGTGTGTGACCGCAACCGCCGTCTTCTTCCGGCCGAAACATTGAACGGAGTTGGGTGGAGCTGCCGCCATTTTTATGCGAAACCCTAATTATAGAGACCGTGGAGTGATCAAATAGACGAAGAAAGCGATCGGTTGGAAAAAATACAGAGCTTATATGGTGCGCGATTAGGGTTTTATAAATCAGATACATTTATTTATGCAGCTGCGGTTTAATGGTTTAAATTGTTAGGCCGGCCCATTTTCAACGTATTTGGTCTAGGCGGCCCGGTTTTAAACGGATATAAAAAAAGAAACAAACTTGTACATTTGTACTACTAAACTGGGTTTTAAGACGTGTTTTGTAAACGATGAAATTTGGGGGTTGTAGTTTTAATTTGTGTGGAACTATTAGGTAAAAATTATTAGGTATAAACAGTAGTAAATTTTTAATAGGTGTGAAAGATTTCAAAAAGTTGTTGCGAATACGACGTTAACTAATTTTTATTTGAAACTATGTAGTGCTAACGATTTACAACGAGATCCTCACAAAACTGACATTAGAAATCAAGTAATATTTTTATAATTATTAATTTTTTTATTGAGTTGCAAAAACAGAATTGTATTGCAGACCATTTGATTTTGTGTCGAAAACCATTAAGGAGTGACATAAAATAATATAAGATTTAACATTTCGAACTTAAGATACGTTTCAGAGTGACGTATTGTACATTTTGGATGATCATCGACTCTGGATTGATACGTCGTATATGAATCATTGATTTTAATGTTTGGAAGCATGAGTGAATCAACGATTATAACACTAGATTACACAAGTTATGATGTGGATTTAAATTATAATATCAACGTATATTGGTTGACTTTGTCTTTCCAACGTCTTGTATTGGACGTTGTTATTTATGCAAATAATTGATGACAATGATGTCCAATATTTTGTTAGTGTTTCTACTAATATACCTCTAAACTTGGTGCAATTATTTGTTGTGAATCATATTCGTTGGAACTCGGAATTGTGTTAATCAAATGGCATATAAGGAATACAAGAGATGGGATCACATAAGTTTCTCAAGTTTGTAAGTTAGTGGATAAGCATATTTGTGCCAATAACACATATATTCTCTATTATTGCCCAGACAAAAAAAGGGTGTTGGGTCATTTTATAAATGATATATTAGCTTATAGTGCATACAACATGTTACATGAAAGCATATCATCTTAACTCTCAATAATTGGTTCGGTTTGATATTTCATACTCGTAAGCTTGACAGACAAAATCTTATGTTCTACAAGTTTTGAGGGGGTCCATGAAGAAGTTTTATCAATACTTGTTATATATTTGTTATGATTTATAAAGGAAAATTTCATGATCGTTACCTATGTAAAGGTGATGACAACCATCAGTTTGACTACTTATTCGTCACTAACGATTGTCTGCTATGATTAATTTTCATATTTTATTTGTATTTTAATAAAGTGATGTGATAAATTATAAAATAGTTTGCATATTCCAATGTTTAAAACTACTTATGTCTGATTTCCATAATTAATGTTGCTCAGCTCAAAGTGAAACACTTGGGAACTCTATTCCTAATGTTTGTCATGGACGAAAACAACCAAATCCCACCGCTTACCTTTGGAGTCGTAAAAACAAATAGTAAGAATATGATTTTTATTGAAGTTGAATGAATGTATTTAGGATATGGATAATTTATCTATCATATACGATATGTTTGATTCCATTAGCATTGTCATCGAATTTGTGTTCCCAAATGCACATCACCAAACTTTGTTGTTGACATTTGCTCATGAATTTACAAACAAAGATAAAATAACAAATAATGAAAATAATGTTTGGTGTGTCGTCAAACCAATAAAAAATCATAGGGTATAAATTACTACTAATTATACCAAGGGGTAGTATAGCAATAGAAGGGATCAAATCCACACGAACACAGAATGAAGCATCCCTTGGTAGTTTTAAAATACTTATAAAAATTATTTAATTTCAAATCCAAAGATTTATAATTATAAAAAGTGTGGAATATCGGTCCAAAACTCTTAAAATAAAGTTTAAGTTTCAAAGATCAAGATTATAACAATAAATATCACAATATACTTCAAATGTCATTATGCCACCATACACATCGTGGTCTTCAAAATGTTCTCATTGTCTTCTACTCCATCTCTAGTTTTCAATTTGAGCACATATTAAAGTACAGTTAAGCAATGAAATGTCTAGTAAGAATACCCGAAGTTAACTCATTTTAAAGAAGTAATAATGGCAATCGTTACACTCGAGTCAAACCACAAAAAATAATATAAACCAACAAAGTTTTCATAAGTTCAATAATATCAATTTAAGGGTACAATGGACCTAAATTCAAGTGAAAAGGGTTCGATAACCCATAAGCCAAAGTCAAAGATTTAATAATCCATAATTTAAAGTCAAAGGGCTTAATAACCCATAAGCAAAGTCAACAAATATATAGACCCATAATTCATATTCAAAGGGGTTCAGTAACGTATAATTTAATTTAAAGTTCTAATACAATCAACGAAGCCAGCAACACTTCGCTAAATAAGTTCAAGTCATTTCAGATATATCAACATTTCAAAATGGAAAAAGTTCAATCAACAAGTAATAATGTAATATGTATATATCCCCATCCTAATTCAATATCATAATGTCCAAACTCGTATAGACAGTTAATAAGGCTCGTGTACTGATTTCAAACCAACACGATATTCTTTCCATTCATGTTCAATAATAAGACTCGTGTGTAATTAACATATAGCACGTTACGCATTTGCAATGTCTATTTGAATTTTTACAAGCTAACTTGTGAACCCTCATACAAGGGTACCTAACATCACTTGCGCATAATGATGGTTACCTAAAAATCTAATCACTCCAAATAAACTCAAATTTTTCATGGATATCATTAATCTCTTCAAAAGTCTCCATTTCCACATGAATGTATATAACGATGACAAAACATTTCAAAATCAATAAAGTTCTTAATTGAGTAAAAATCCTTTCAAATAAGTTTCATGTAATAATACTCACATAATATTTATAATTGACACATTGCACATAAAAGAATAGCGGCTCATTAGGTTACGCCAAAATGTGGTAGGAGGCGATGCCTTGAAGTACATATTGGAGACTAGGTGGGAGCGATCCTGTGCTAGCCTAGAAAGCAACGCCCCTGAGGCAACTTTCCAACACCAACTCCCGGTCGGCACAATGGGGTTAAAATTCGCATAGCGGCAAAATGGTATTAGCCAACAACCTTAGCGGTGCACGCACCACCACTAACATCCTCTCTGAACCAATCACGGCTTAGAGTATGATAAGCATAACACAACTGATAATGACAGAGTAACACTTTCAGCTACATATATGTCTGATGTTTGTCCATAACTCTTCATCAAAGCACATTTCTTTGTACTGCAAAATACACTGAAGTGTATCCATATATCGAGTAAGTATATTACTAATTGTATATTCATTATTTGTTTGATTAGTTGTCCATATATTTATACAATCCAGATTAAGAGCTTAATTTGTTAATACATTATTAAATTTGTCATTTAATATGGATACATGTACAAGTTTGTTCATTAATTAAACACTTAGACTAGAAAAGTGTATAATACATTAAACCCATATATAATATATATATATATATATATATATATATATATATATATATATATGGATAGCTATATATATAATACATTAACACAATGATGTATATATACATGCATAAAGTATGTTGTGGTCTTAATACATTAAGCCATGACTTTTGGCTTAACCCATTTACTCATTATGTCCATATTAGGTAAAAAATAAACATATTCTAACTTTACTGTTCATCAATGTACGCATAGGCGATACGAGAAACATCTGAAAAATAAACATCCTATGAAAAGACAAGCATTGCTGGAGAAAGAGTACAGTGAAGCTTTCAGTCATTGGTTAAAAGAGGAGGTAAAATAATGATCCAAGTTAATTTTTGTTTTGAGAAATTTGCACATTTTTTCTCTGTCATTCGCCAATTGCTTGAACAAAAAAGTATCTGATCAATTTGTCCCCTGATGCTTATCATTTTAATGATATTTGGGTAGAGTGAGAGATGGCGATCGACAAACAGAGTATTTCAGAGGACTTAAGGTGGGGTTCGCTTGGCCCACAATACATCATAAAGAAATATGGTGTATACACATTAATGGCTACGTATTTTGTACACGATCCCGTGAAGGTATAGTTAACCAAAATAGTGAGGTTTGCGTAGAGACAAATGACACACACACATATCTAGAAGAAAAAAAGTATCCTATGACAACACCTTTTATTATGGTGTTCTACAAGATATATGGGTTCTAGATTATCATATAAGAAAAGTTCATATTTTCAAGTGTGACTGTGTTCATAATAAAAAAGGGGTTAAACAAGATCCTCTTGGCTACACCTTGGTAGAACTAGATACATTATGGCATAAGGATGATCCATTCATACTTTCCTCACAAGCACGATAGGTATTATATGTGAGAGACCCGTAGGATAATAAAAAGTCAATTGTAATCATTACACCTCCAAAAAGTTATAGAGATGCATATGAAAGCGATGATGAGGAATACAATACAATAGTTTTACCACACAAAGATAAATATAAAAGCCACATGTAGATATACTTGATATGGTTGTTGAATCCCGCAATGATTACTTTCGGTCGAATTGTAAGGGTACAAAAATACGTAAGGCCAAAAATAAGTTGTGAAGATATAGTAGTTGCAGGACAAAACCGGATACTATTCTTTTATCTTTTATAAGCATTGTAAATATTTTTGGTTAATTTTTTTTTTTTTTTGTTAATTTTCAGTATATATACCCAGTATACTGGGGTCTGTTGTTGTATACCCAATACTTTTTTATTAATAATTGGTTTGATATTTTTGGGTTTTTCTTAAGATTTACCCGTGTTAAAATATTAGCTTGGTAAATTCTTCCTAGCTAGTATGATTATTTCTTTTCTTTCCTGTAACTTCCCAAAAACCACGGAAAAAAT